AAATGCAATTTACTCTTCTGTTTTTCTTCTATCACCATTTATATACCTGAGGCCCGCAATCACTGTTTGTGTTACAAAAGGTCATACAATCTAGGGGGGGGGGGGGAGATGAATACAATGAACGCGCGCACACACACACACACACACACACACACACACACACACACACACACACACGCACACATACACACACACACACACACACACACACACACACACAATACATAAACCATAGATAAATCATATATCGTCGCCGTTATTAAATATACTAGTATGTCAAGATACGAGGTTTACAAGAGAAGCAAAGACCTTTATTTTGCTCAAGACACTGTCTTAAATACAACATTATTAATCCGTCTTAATCTATGGCTATTTTAAGAAAATTAATGGAACTAAGTCTATTTCATGCGCTTATTTACACTCAACAACATAGCTTATTTTCGTTTCGATTTTTTTTTTGGGGGGGGGGGGATTGAAATTTTGACAAACTACAGCTTCCATCTTTCTCTCTCCCTCTGTCCCTCTCTCTCTCCCTCTGTCCCTCTGTCTCTCTCTCTCTCTCTCTCTCTCTCTCTCTCTCTCTCTCTCTCAATGTCAGTCTATATGAAGGGCCTCGTAGTTGCTATCATTTGGTCTGCTCAGATTACTTATTGTCAGTGCTATTAAAGTATTGCATTACTTTTGATCTGATTTGCAAAATGTGGTTGGTCCCATCATGAAGATAATTCTAGAAAGAAATTATCTTTCTCTGTTATGCCCTTTTTTTCTCGAGTGTATGAGAACATAAATTGTTAGGGATATTTTTTGTACATTGTATTTATCCAAGCAGCTGGAACACGGAGGGTGTGTGTGCATACATTTTTTAGCCTATCAGAGAGACTGATACAGCAGGTAATTTAGACAGAAATACAGACTGCTGTACTCTGACAGTCACACGCAAACAGAGACAAACACAAAGACACGCAAACGCATGAACACACACACACTTACAAACATAAATTCACAAACAACACATGACACTTACTCATCTTCTCTCTCTCTCAAACACACACACACACACACACACACACACACACACACACACACACACACACACACACACACACACACATTTTCACACTTTCACCACACACACATACCTCCATCCTAAGAAATTCTTCCACAGTGTTGGGTCTGGCAGAGCCACCACACGCCCCTTGAGCCTCTTCATCTCCCCCAGAGTTCCCGCTGAAGTTCTGATCCCCTGAGCTCAGTGTTGCCGCTGTCCCAGACACCCCAGCATTGCCGTCCTGCGAGTCACCAAGTGGAACTTCTCGGCTCGCCATGGCAGACACTGAAAAAGACATACATCAGATTTATTTCATTTTAAATATTTCAAGTCCCCATTGACACGATCATGATCATGTAAGATTTGAGGTTGATGGCTTTGACACTGCCTATCAGGGCAGCCAACATAGGCAGGATACATAATCTCAGCAGACAGATTTTTCTCAAGTACTACCTCATTTGATTTCTTTTCCTTCCAAGATATTCTCAGCTGTCTCCAAAGAAACCACATTTCTGTTGTTTCTATTTTATTTTCACTGTCTTTTTAAAGATTTCCAGCATTCACAGCCTTTTAGAGAGAGTTTTGACGTAAATAACATTTCAGAACTTTCATTACTATGACAGTCATTAAGAAAATGGTTTATGTAATTAAACACCTTTTTTCTCACCGAAGGGCTGAGGGACTGGGTGAGTAGGTAGAATATTCTCCGGGATACCTTAACTTTAACACAACAGAATTTCTATCAAGTTACACTCTAAACATGTCTTGATAGCTCTCTTCATACAGCGGCTTTAATATTCGGTCTTCATAATTTTTACCTCCACGGAACGGGTCTAACGCTTTCAGTCAATTTCATATTTTAAAAAAAATTTACTAATCTATTCTTCTTATTCTGTGATCACACCAGACAGACGTAACAGTATTATTCATTCTACCTTTCTTCTTATTCTGACCATAGGATACAGGTATCTTTGAGTTACCTTTTTTGTTGATACATGTCATTATACTGACCCCTTTCCACAATGTCGCACCTTGTGTCGAGTCCAAGTCAACCACAACTAAACAATAAGGCTGATGTTAAGGGACCGTACGCCCCAATAGCGCTTGGCGCTAGGGGACCGTACGCCCCCATAGTGTTTAGCGCAAGGGGACCGTACGTCCTACCTGCGCTAAGGCGTGGTGTTACGGGACCGTACACAGATATATGCATGCATCTGGACTTTGCAAAAATATTGGAGGAAAACGGCCAGTTTAACGAAGCTCCTGACATTAGGAGTTATTGCTAGGAGAATGTTTAAAATATCTGAATACGATTGTGAGGTATCCAGTGGCCGTGGGTGAACCAGAATTTGAAATTTGCTCACGTCTGCACCCACGTTGTTGTTATGTGTTAATAAAAGAAATCAAAGAGAGGGAGGGAGAGGAAGAGAGAGAGAGGGGGAGAGGGGGAGA